CGGAGTCGTTTAATGCCCAAGAACCCCCCACAACTACCGCCAACGCATTTGTAGTGGCATCGTTTTCGCTGGTTCCACCTACTGAGCGAGGCGGAAACTGCTGACCAAGCGCCGGGAGCAGCTCTAGACTGCTCGGAGTTCTTTCCTCGGCCGACCTGCATTTGGAGGCGTCTGCTCGTGAATGCTGAGAGAGGCACGACGCTCTTGGTCTTACTCGTAATGTAAGTACCCTTGGGAAGCATTTGCACACATATTGCCATAGAAGAACCTTGTCTTGGTTTGTATTCGGCCTTTTTAATGTAGGTTTTATTACCCAACTCTGCCACTACCTTATACTACATACTGTCCGAAAAATTGCTCATTCTTTTAATACGGAGTACTTCGCCAGAAGTTACCGTGTAAATGATTTTGCATAATATCTTCCCTAACGTTTCTCTAAAACGTGTTTAGACCACAGCTGATTTCCCCATTTTTTCTTATCGTGCTGTCTTCTGCCAAGCCTAAAGCAGGGGTGCCAGACTCAAAACTCCTCTTGGGCCACTTTTCATTTCCTCTACCATCTTGAGAGTCGACAAAGGATTAAAACTTAAGGCACTTCCATGTGCGTAAGCTTTTTTGTTACCGAAAGCGAGGCACCCGCAAGGAGAGTCCCAAGAACGGGTTATCATGCTAACCCAAAATCCAAACCTAACCTTTCCCACTATTTGTTGCCTAGACCAGGGGGAAGCCTCTTGCACCCCCGTTTATTAACACATAGTGCCTACTTGTAGAAAGCGCGACATTAAGAACCTTGGCTGTGTGAGGGTGTTGTGGACTGTCCCTGAGCGGTGTTGTGCCGCGGGTATATTCATAATCTGTTGTTTATGACGATTTCTTGTAAGAACTCCCCATTACTCTAGCCATTTGAGGGAAATCCACAAAGATCGCCGTGTGAACAAAAAGCTTTCCTAAGCCGGGAGCTCCGCCCAGGACTCCCACCCGATCGCATTGTGCTCCACGCGGCATTAGTCGCAACTTATTTTCTTCATGTCTTTGTCTACGCATATTTCAAGCATTCGTGTGGAGTTTCTATCGTGTGGAGTTACATTTTCCTGTAAGTTAACTCTCCCCTCAAGCAGTGTCCGAAGAGCACGCCTAGTTACGGCAACTTAAATTGTTGAAAATAAATTTGACGTAGTTGGAGATTCTAGCGAGAATGCGTCCCGTATTATAGAAAATTGCCAACAAATTGAACATCAGATACTCGGCACATGGTAGGAATAGATGTCACTGTTGCATCAAAAGTATATAATGTATTCCTGGCTCACGTTCTGGTTGAGTATTGCCGAACAGGAGTCTTTTTATTTCCATTCAAATGCGAGGTCTCAAGTTAATGTTACCGAGAGCGCCGCAAAGAAGTAGAGGGAAATGGACACTGCCATCTTAGAGCATAGAAATAGTCATGGGCAACACAGGTATGTCTGCAGCGGCCTCATATTTATCGATCAGTGTCAGAAAACACGAAATTGCGAAGTGTTTATATAGGGTGGGGGGGGGGGGCGGCTTACCCCTTTGCCCCCAGTTAAATAGAAGGTAGGAATGGTTAGGTTTGGATTTTGGGTTCGCATGATCCCTTGGTTTTGGGACTTGGTCTCTTGACGGTGGGTTCCTCTCGGTAACCAATGCCCAGTATACTTTAAAATGTAAACTACGTATATATTTTAATATTTTTTTCCTATTGCACTGCATTGCCCGTTAATGAGGAGCCATATGCAGTTTATCAGCCGTATAGGCTTACTTGTTACTAAACCGCCGTGAAAAGGAGTAGCAAGGCATTATCTAGAGCCAAAAGATGGCCGAATTGAGTTGGTTTGCTGCTGATTCTAAAGTTTATATTTTTCCGTGATTTCCAAGTAATTTAAGTAAAATACCCAGAGCTATATTTACTCTCGAAAATCTAAGGAAAATATCAACACAATGTGCGCGCTAAAATAGTGAGAAATCGCTGTACAATTAAAGAGGAAGGTTGCTGATACATGAAACCAGTTGAGAAGGCAAAGAATGACGACAGAAATTAAGGAAAAGGGAGATAAATCCCACGGGGTTCGGCGGGGGGGGGGGGGGGGAATGCGGCAATCGGGTGGAGTTTGAAAAGCCCTCTGGGTGAAGTTTTTAGTTCGTGGCAGTGTTTGGGTTCCTTGGAATGCCTCAGTACCCCCTTGGGTGAATTAAGATTCTCTGAGGGAGTGTCACTTCGGAAAAAATATATATATATATTAATTCATCTGTATAGCCGTGGATTCACTGTGTAGACACCCCCCTTAAAAAATGTGTATATATAATAATAATAATATCGAACTCTAATCAGTAATTACATACAAGTCGTACACTTTATGAAGATTTAAGAAAATCCCTCACCACCCCCACACACCTACCCCTACCCCTACCTACCTCTTTTCAACCAAACCAGCCCCAACATGTCAAGTAGGCCATGCCAATACACTACAATTTTCAACCCGACTTTGCCTTGCCCCTATAGAATAACAAAGCAAACAATTAGATTCTTAACTTTAAGGCATGTATCTGCAAACTAATGTAATCTCAAATTTACAATTTGACTTGGAATCATTCCAGAGTGCAGTCCAGTGGGAAAGAACAGCAACATGCCTCCCCGCAAGAAACCTGTCAAAGCAGCCGCAAAGCCTAAAAATGAAGCAGAGGTGGATTCTGAGGAAGAAGCTGCGGAGGTGAAGGGGGAGACCATAGAGAAGCTTGCCCTGGAGGAGGACCTGGAGGATGAGGAAGATGATGATTATGATCCAGAGGTATATATGGTTTGGGCACCTTTCACACAATAGCATGTAATTTGTTCGATTCTTATATATTTATCAAACCTGTTTTTAGATTGGGGAATGAAATATATTTGCTTGTTTTGGTTCTTTGAGCACATGTAATATTTTTAACCTTTGCTAGAATTTAATTGCATTGAATATTTAAAGGCAAAAGGCAATGACGAGGAGGGATCAGATGACGATGGAAACGAGGAAGAGGATGAAGAGGACGAGGCAGAAGAAGATATGGAAGATGAGGAAGATGAAGAGATTGATGAAAGTGAGGTAAAAGATGTATTAAATGACAAGGGTGGAGATGAGGAAGGGAATGAAGATGAGGATGATGCAGGAGAGAATGAAGAAGAGGAAGAGGAAGAGGAGGACGACCAGGACCAGGAGGAAGAAGAGGAAGAGGAGGAGGAGGAGGAAGAAGAAGAAAAGCCCAAAGCCAAGTCCAAACCCAAACCCAAACCTCAGTCCAAACAGGTGCAGCCAAAAAAGCAAGCCGTGAAGACGGGCACAAAGAAAAGTGTTGCCAAACCACCTGTGGACAGTATTGCAAAAGTTGTTTTAGAGGCTGTCAAGGCAAACACAGAGAGGAAAGGGATTTCCTATGCTGGCATCAAGAAGTACTTAATGGGTAAGGGTTCTAGTTTTGGTTTTCAGAAAGTACTTTGTATTATCTGTCGTATTAACGACAGATTCAAACATATATCACTCAGACAACTGAAGTATTTTGGACATATAGTAAGGGAAAATAGCTTGGAGAAACTGGTTATGGAAGGAAAAATAGATGGTTCAAGATCCACAGGGAGACAAAGAAAAGTACCTAGATCTGGTTGCTGCAGTGGGATGCTTACGGAAAGGGAAGCTCTTCCATCTGACTCAGGACAGAGAGATTCAAATGCATGGTAGCCAACGTCAATTGACAAGGCACAACAAGAAGACTTTGTATTATAGCTTGTTGCAGTAACAGGAGTGGTTTAAGAGTTTCAGGTTATTAACGTTTTTCAATCTCTTCATTAATAGTACTCTTGTGCAGTGCATTTAGTTCCACAAGGGTAATGTAGACTTTAAGGGTTTTTACTTGTTGTATGACATTTTCTTTCTTTTACAGCACAGTACCCAGATAGAGACTGGTCCAAAAAAGGACACTTTCTTAAATCTGCTCTTAAAAAGGCACTTGAGGAGGGAACAATCCTAAGAACAAAGACCAGTGCAGAATCAGTAGGAGCACATGGAAGGTTTAAGGTGAGAACTACAAACCTGAATCATTTGGTAAATTTCCTAATTTGTGTAACAGTTGTTAAATGCAGTAACAAGTATGCACATGTAGAGATTAATAGGAATAAGTTCTAAAGTATTGAAGTAGATATATATTCATTCTGAGAAATTTTAATGTTGCATAATACAAACTAGTAGTATCCCCATTGCAACAATGATTCATTGGTTACCCAGTTTATTCTTGCATGCATTCCCCTTTCAGTTCAACAGGGAATACAAAACACTTAACCAGGGTGAGAAGAAACCCAAAGCAGACAAAGAAGAAAAGAATCCCAGGGCTAAAAAGGAAAGTGCAGCAAAGCCTGATAAAGAAAAGGCAAAGCTTAAAGCAAAGGAAAACACACAGGGAACTAAAACTGGCATTAAAAAGACCACACCCAAAGGGAAGACCAAAGATAAGGCGGCACAGAATGCCAAAAAAAAGGTGCCAGGCGAGAAAGAAAACAAAGTACCCCCCAAAGCCAGTAAGCTGAAACAGACCAAGAGTAATGAGCTCGGGGCCACCTCCAAGAGCAAAGGGGCTGCGACTAGTGCAACAGGAACCAAGAAACCGGCCAAAAGGACCAATTCAGAACCCTCAAAGGAAGTAAAGACAAAGTCCAAAAAGGGGTCATAAATTAGGTAATTTTTCAACTGATAATGTACATTTTGGTTTTACTGTATCTGTAAAATATATCCCAAGTTTCTAGGTTTTATTTAGGTGAAGAAAATGAATTATTAACTTTATTAAATTCTTTGATAAGACTAGTTTCTTGTCCAGAAAGTTTAAAATAAAACTTTTTAGTAAAGCATTTTTTAATTACCTATTTGGGATTGCTAATTTGAAATGTTAATCTAAATTTAATGTTAAAGATAATGCATATTTGTACAATAATTTTGCAGGATACTAAGCCTTTACCAGCATGGATAATTAATCTAGTTGGACAATATTGGGTAAAGCCAGAGATCATGAGTGCCAACATGCTTCCAGTTTGGAAGTTTAACCCATAATTGCATCTCTAAATTATTAATCATGATGGGTTAGGCAACTAGTCCATGGCCTTAAAACAGCTTTAGCTTTGCCCAGGTGCTGCTACCATCTGCGTACCTGAGTACCACAAGCAGGGCTGGATTATCCTAGGTGGCCAGTATAGGCTGCAGCCCTGGGCCCTTCAAGCTTGGGGGGCTTGGTTATATATATATTTCTTTCTCACTACGGTTGTTGAAATATAGTAAAATAGTGGTATTTAAATATTTTTATTGACAAACAAAAGATAGCTATACTAGTTTATTAAAATTTCAATAAGCTTACTTCAAGCTATGTAAATGTCCCTGAAATATATCACGAGTAAAAAATATTCTGAGGGGGGGCCCCATAATTTCATTAGCCTAGGGGCTCCAAAAGGTTATAATCCGGCTCTGACCACAAGGACTATATATGAGAAAATATGGCCTCGTCTTGGTTAAAAATGAGTGGTGACACCTATATTAACTTGCAATAAATCTGCACAATATAATTTTATAAGGGAAGTTGATTTTGAGGCATACTTTTTCTATTGAAAAGCTTTGGTAAACCGAGTCACCATAATTGCTGTAGATGCAAGATGTATAAAAAAAATGAAATAAATTCAACTATGCCTTTTCATACATTTTTGGGTAAAATTGATTTCTTAATGGCAAGCACAAGCACAGCAGCAAAAATGTTCTATTTATCATTACTTAAGATGCTTACACAGGAATGGATTTGGAATCCTTGGTCAGTCGGTCTTTCTACTAAAATACGTTCTTAACCATTCATACAGATCATTAAACAGTGAGCTGACACTTAAGGCTGCCTACCCCCATTCCTTGCTGCTTGTTTGTGTGTGGGGGGAGATTAAGAGACTGGGACTGAGGCCCTATTTAGGGGTTGCCCCTACCTTGGTCCTCAGCCCATGCTTCCCTAATTTTGCATGATCTTTTCTGTTACATAATCTAATTGTTAAGTAGACAGAAGGGTAAGTCCTTATTACCACAATACTTTGCATTTCCAGAAATGATAAACATTGCCTTATTGAACCAAAAAACTCCCTTACCTGGGGGCTGTGCCCCCAAGCCCTACCCTTTTGCTAGATTTTGAATACACTGTGAATGACCTTAGATGTGGCAGGAAATTTTCAATAATTAGAATACTTGTTTACCAATTAGTTTCTCTGCCTGTGAGGTTCTCTGTGCCTGATCTTGTGCCCATTGATCATCCCTGCACGTGTGGCCAGGCCTTTACATCTGCTAGATCTTAGAGAAAGTGCATTCAAGACTTTCCTCTTGACTGACTGACTTCTTGATTATAATTTGCTTCCTCCATAATTTTAAGTAGGAAGCCAGCCCTAAATATTGTTTATACAGGTATTAATGAAAATGGGGATTTCTTAATTATTATTATTATTACATACAAAAATCAAAAGGTACACTTTGCTATCACTAGATTCAAATATAAAATTACACAATGGCTCACTTTCTGTAAACTACCTTTGTAATTGAAGAGGAAATGCTAATTATAAACACAACATACATCCTTATGGAGTCCTCTACAATATTATCAAATCATCGTCGTCATCCACTGGGCCCGGTCGCATCTTCTTGGTTGGATTCTGTAACTCATCCTCTGCCTTCCTCTTCTTGACATAGTCGTCATCCAGGCACACCAACTCATCATCTGACGCTGCGGTGGTAGATGCTGCATTCATAAAAGAATAGAATTTTAGTATTTTTCAACTTGAATGGATGAGATTTCAAAAAAGTTAAGTATACCCTCATTTTTCTCAAAGGCAAGAACAACTTGATTATATGATCTTGGAAGTCTGTAGAAAACTAACATGTTGCTCCATGTTAAGGGATACTTTTTTTTTCTATAAATGGATAAAGAAACATGTACATCTAAAGAAGTTAAACAATTTATGAACATTTGAGGACACAATAAATAAATAAATAAAAAACTTTGTGGCTAAAAGTTTACAATCACTGACAGCCACATGATGGTTTATGCATATCCAAAATTATGTAACACCAAATTACATTACCTGGAACATTATTTGCTGCAGCCGAGGTCTCTCCAACACCATCCTCTTTAGCCTTTTCTTCTTGGGCTCTTTTCAATTCATCGGGATCACCAATGACCTCAAATTCTGCACCATCATCTAACTTCTCACTATCAAGAAGAAGAAAAAATAAGTACATATGGTGGGTCTCTCAATCTACCATTAGGTTCATATTTATAATGCTGGAATTATCATATATGCAAAGATTAGCCTTGTAAGCATGTGGATTAGGATCTGGCTTATCCTTACTAACCTGTGAATTACATTAACCACAAGTGTATAATTTTGAAGAAAATCATCGCAGTTCAATCTTGTCCCTTCTTGAATGCCAAAGTCCTGAAGAGAAAATTTCATATATCAGCCATAGAATAAGATTAGTAATGGTTAATTCCATTAAATAAAGGATTACATTTTCATTGTGTAACCTTTTTAACAACATTTTCCCAACACAATATATAAATATATATCATTTGTAAGTATATGGCTATCAGCTGTTTAAGAAACTCCATTATGCTCACGGGATACAACCTACCTTTAGTAGCTTATCGTTATTTGCCTCTGTTTCTCCCTCCTCTGACGAAATGAGGATTGTGCCCTTGCCATCACAGAGCTCAACATCTGGTGCAATCATGTTGAGGGCTGACTTCAGTATCCTGTCTTCCAACACTTTAACTGTGATCTTTTCTACATTCAGTCGGACCGAAACTTCTGGTTTCTCAGAGCAGACGTAGCACTTAGGATTGGGCTTATCTAAAACACAAGGTACCAGGAGGCGCTTCCTGGGATTTGGTCTCCTGTTTAGGTAAACCTATGGGGAAAAATAAATGATCATAAAGAGCAAAGCCTTTTACAGAGCATTTTGAATTCAAATCAAAACAACAAAATGTGTAACAAAAAGTTTATTATGCATCAATAATTTAATTGATTCTTATATAAAAATTCCATTAAAGGGACCACGCTGCTCTAAAAGCGGGAAAGGAAGCATTATCCAAAGGAACATTTGATCTGCAAATATAACAATATGGAAGAGAATTTATCTTTAAGCACATCTAAATTCACTTAATACTACTATGAACAAAGAACAAGAAACGAAAAAGAAAAAGAAAAGAAAAAAAAAAAAAAGAAGAAAAAAGTAAAAAGTAATTAATCTAAAAAATAATAATTATTAAAATATATAAAAAAAAAAAAAAAAAAAGAGAAGAAAAAATATATATAAAATAAATAAAAGATAAATAAATAAATAAAAAGGAAAAATAATAATATGGGTACTTACTGTTTTACAATCTTTAAACCTTCCCTGCAGGATCTTCATAGCTTCTAAAACAATTAGACCCGCAATAATTGCATTTGTGGTGGCAATTGCAGGGATAATATTTCCAGCCATTGCTGAGAAAAGTAATGATCATTAGAATATGAAAATGCTAGAAGTGGAATTAGAGGTAAAATGTAATATTACCTCTTGGTATACACAGTTAACTATGCGAGAGAAAATTCTAAGCATCATAGTTAATCAGGTTCAATGTTTAGTATTCTTATTCTTATTATTAAACAAACAAACCAAATGCAGTAAAAACAACTTACATTTAACATCAAATCTGGTCTTTTGTGGAATCCCAAAAATGTGGGCCCGGATATTTGCACACGCTGTAACGAAGTCCATACTGTCCTTATCGTCCTTGTCCCAAACCAGGTCATCCCCTTCTGGAAGTCCCTGCATGGAAGGAACGTTCATCACTTTCTATTTCTGAATGAAGTATAGCACACCCACTTTAACCCAATCGCTGAAGGTTAATGTACTCTCCACACTGTAGTTTTTTGTGAATTTGTTGCATACAGATGCTACACATGTGCTCAGCCACCAAGGAGTCAGTAGGCCCTAGTGACCATGCCTGACTTCCCCATACTTGGATTTGCAGGAAAAGGCGTTTTTCTTCTTAACCCATTGCCGCCGGGGAAAATGAACAAAAAGTGGGGAAAATGCTGTACTCATTTTCATATTTTTGTGAAATATCTCTGTTCATAGATGGCTCTGCTAGTCCTGATTTCACCTTTCCTTGAATTGGCGGGAAAAAAACGTATTCTTACTAGTGCTATAAATATAGATGATGTTATTTTTAACAGCAAATTAGGATAACGTTCAATATTTTCGTAAATTGATGAAAAGGGTGAATGGGCGAGACAGGCAGTACTCGTAATTCGCTCATTGGTGACTTAGTAGAAGTGTAGCCATCTATGTGTAAAAACAATCAAACAAGTCGACTCACAGTGGGCATGGCATATACATACATGCCATCCCTGGTGGCAATCAGTTAATACTATCAGTATTGTTAATAATTATTATTATTGATATTATAATTATCAAAATGTTACTGAAATACAAATAACAATAAAGACAATAAATTACAAAATGCAGCTTTCCACAAAGCAAGGAAAGGGGTAAACAGGTAAGATTGTTAGGACTAATAATTGATTCCTTGACTAAGCACTTGTAATCATCTGTGTCAAGACAATTAACAGACTAATATTACAGTGAGCATGGCACGTATTATTGCCACCCAGACTGGGCGAGTTCAAATCCAAGTAGCCAAGATATTACCACATCCTATCTTATTATTCTTTTACTTTGTCAAACATTATTGCAAATTGAAGTTGAGCAATGTTCACCTTATCAAAACCTTACCGCAAGACGTTTGTGAAGGCTTGCAACTGCGGAGCCCATTATGTCTCGACACTGAGTTATGGTCCATGGGCGCTGGTCCTGAATCAAACCTTCCCCGTCTTCAATAACATCTGGATCATAAGATAACAAATCAATATAATCATATTAACTGGAACAATTCACAAAAGTTCCCTTTACCCTAAACCTGATCCCTCATCGCTCCAGTATTTGGGCAATTTACAAATAGTAATAATCAGTTTTGCAAATATCAGGAACAACATTAAATCCCTCAAGGACACTGTGGCCAAGAGAAAATAAAGAAAGAGGCCACCTTACAGCAAAGAGTAGGAGAGTAAAATCTACAAGTGACATGGATTATTAACCAATTCATGACAGGATAAATTTTGACTACAGTTTGGCGAAGCTTGGGTGTTGGCATACACTTCACTGTGCCTTGCCTATTATCCAGCTCTGAGCCAGGCCCCTCAAGGATCGCAGCCAACAGGACCTGGGCTCATGACGCATTAGGCAACATCTGGTTCCAGTGATATTTTTGCCATGATGTGATTAGATGGTGCCTAGCATGAATAGGTTAATAATATAGACATGCTCCTTACACTGTCACGTTACATGAAGCAAGAGTAATTGTATTCTTTCTATGTTAGCATTTTGTAAAATAATCTATAAAAGTTTTCTTTATGTACAAACTATAATTTGAAATAAATTAGTTGTTTTATGGATCATAACCAAATTGGGATATCTCATGATACTATTAGAGATTGTGAGATAGTTTTTCCATTTCATATTAACCCTTGTCACTGGGTGGTATGTATGTTAATAATATGGAATTATTGGACTCCTTTCTATATGGTATGTATATTGTAGTCTCGCAAAGCATTTCGAGCCTGTTCTAAGTTGTGCACATTAAAGTTACTTGTTTGTCTGGCTGTTACTACCGTGATTTAGAAGCTAAAACCCCTCAAAATTAGGCTTAAGTCACTGTATAACCTTGTTCACTATGCAATCACATATGCTGCAGCCCTGCTCATAAGGGGTTGGAAAATTATGTTACATGTGCTTCTGACTTTTCCCTCCAGTCAATGACTGCCCATGATATTCAACAAACAGTCCAATTTGACACATGAAACTCCTGTTGACATTGGGTAAACCTTTAACATCATAATCACCTGCTTCTGGCATGTTTTCCCAATTCAGTGGTGTCGGCCGTCTCCGCTTTTCCCATAATTTGTCCATAGAGAGCAGGTACTTGATATCATCATCAAAAAGTTTTCCAAAGAGTTTCTGTAAGGAAACAATTATAGTTTTAAACTGGTCTACACACATTGAACCTTGAACAAAAACACACAATAACATGTGTACAAATAAAATGCAACACAAAAGAATCAAAATGCCTTGCATTCCTCTTCAAAGAAAAAAATATAATGGATAAACAGAAAGCTACTTAATTTACTCTTCTCTTCTCACTATTCCCTTCTAGAATGGGCCTTCTAGACACCCTTCGGAATTTCATAAAAGCCAGCTTCTGCAAGAATATTAACAGTGTAGCATTTTGAATCAATACTTGTAAGAAAATAAAGCCCTAGGCTAAAAAATGGCACATACCTTTGCATCATAATTGTGTGAGGAAGCCCATGCCCTGGTGGAGACTCTGGAGACATTGCCAGCATCGTTGGCGTCTGCCTCCATGGCCGACTTCCCTGCGTCTCCCACTTGCTCTGGGTCTGCCGAGTCTGGTGACACATCTTCATCTGGATCTGCCTCACCAAACAGCTGGCTGTTGGGTACAATACTCATCTTTACAAAAGAACCTTTAACTTTTTCCAGTGTTCTTGTGATTGCCACTGGTCATGGCCAGTTTAGTTTTGCTATCTCGTTATTTTTATTTTCTACCATTTCACTATTTCAGTTTTCAACATTATAAATAAAACAGTATTATATCATTTCATTCTCTTTTCAACTAAGGATAAATTGCATTTATTGCACATTCTTGTACAGTGTGCTGCATATATAATATGAATCCAAATTAAAGTGTCCTAGTCTGCATGCAGACATTATGGTAACCTTATTCATCTATCAATCTGTCTATCCATCTCTCATGCCAACATGTACGGTCTAATCATTCAAGATAACTGTAACAACGACCGTCATGATAATAATGATGATGATAATCAACACTTCATATATACCTTTCTGAAAGCATCACTGGATGATTATTCATGGCATTATTTGATTTAAATTTTAAAGTTACAGCTGACTACCAGAATCCCTTTCTAAAAGGGGCAAAAACTCACTCCCTCCATTCAAAAACCGTACTTTAGGCTAAAACAATGAAATGGTATTATTTGTAATTATGATAAAACTTTATCGCTGATTTTAAATATCTTATCTGTCATTGAAATCATTACCATTATGCCAACTGGGGAAGACATGCAAGTACATGCCATACCAACTGTGAGTTTAGTTTATTAATTGTCTTTACACGTACATGGTTCCACAAGTAATAAGTAACCAATGAACCAATTATGAGTACTCACCTGTTTACCCTTTCCTTATTTTTGGAAATATTTTCTGTTAACTTATATTGCTGTTATTAATGTCAATTACACTATAATAATTAAATTGTCTATAATAATAATAGCATCAATATTGATAGCATTAGTAGAAAAACCTCAAGGAAAGGACATAAGGTCTACAAATTGACTCTTTTGTGGCTAAGTACTTGTGGAGCCATCTATGTGCAGACACATTTCACAAAACAATATCACAGCAAACATTACACTTTCCCAGCAACGATGGAGTAATGAGGTAAGTATCAAGGTTTATAATAACCATGACAATGCTGATGATGTATGATGTGGATAATACTTATAGCAACAACAACAATAGTAATAATAATAATAATAATAATAACAGCACTGAGGATATGACCAAATAATATAATGAACATTATGATATTGAAATATTGAAAATGATATATAGTATCAACACTTACAATATTATAAATAATATACATGATAATATAATGAGAGAACTCATTCTTGGCAAATGAAAGTAAGTTATGTTGGAAACTTAATTTTTAACACAATGATTTTCATCAACAATGTTGGTACATTAGAATAATACAATTCTATTTCTCTTTTTTCAGTACAGAGATAATTAAATACATAATTACACAGAAAATGTAGGTATCAAAATATTTCAAGTCAAGTGATTGTAAGAATTCTTAATAATTCTAAAAATGCTATTACTATTTGTCATATACAAGATTTTTATGCTGATTCATGCAATGGCCACTTGCTGATCAAATGTAATGCTGTGGAATTTTTGTATTCTGACAGGTGTGATTCCTGGCAATCTCATGTAAGTGTTACCAGGTGCAAGAGACACCTGTAAGCACCCATGCTGAGTATGACACTGACCTTTCATTTGTCCCAACTGTACATATGCATATTTTCAAATTCTTGTCTGTCTACCAAAATATCAGTATAACAGAATAATATTACAACACTGATTCCTTCCAAGACAGAGATTTAAAAAAGATCAGTACAGTACTCACTTAAAGAGATGTTTTGCCCACACTATGCAGTGAATAGGTTCTGAAGGAGTGTTTCTGATGGTGCATCCTGGGAATGTCTTTTGTGCTGGCTTTGGCTGGCATTCGTAACATTCTGTCACTCCCTTCTTGATAACCTGTAAGACAACCATAAACTGGTTATTTATAATCTGATTGCTGAACTATACAATTCTACTGGACTATAACATCTAGATTAATTAACCCCTTGGATCCAGTTGCTTCATGGAAATCATATGGATCAAAATATGGACGACAGGCTTACGTGAGTGGCTGATCTGACAGGTGAATGGTTTGGAGGCTGGGCACAAACGAGTACACGTGTGTGGTGACAAGACTATGACTTCCCTTTGCACAGATATTTTCTCTTTATAGAGAAGCATTTAGGTTTTGCCATTTGTCAATTGATTTGGTTTATCCAGATGATAATACTGTTTTCCTTGCAGGTCCTCTTCCAGTCACAGCTAACGGACCCATTCCACATTCATTTGTGGAAATAATGCAAAAGCCCTTTTCTAAATGCCAAATGAGTCTAATCTCAATCCAAGAGGTTTGTGCATTTGTGGGGAGTCTTTCCCATCACTCCAGCCTTCAGCCGAAACCTTCATGACGGCAGGTTCATGTCACCCCAAGGCCAAATTTTCCCATCACAGCATGTTCACGTCACCCACCTATCACGCCAATTTCTTTCACAGCGTGATGAGTCACTTCATCCAGATCGAAGGGGTTAAGATTTTCATATAGTAAACACCATGGGTAGAAGTACATCTAACTTTCTGCTATTGTTCGTGATTAGTTATATAACTAAGATAATGAAATTCTGTAATATCAGAACTTCAGAATTAGTAAGAACAAATCCAAATGATACTCACACAAAAAATCTACTTGCATAAGAAATATCCCTATGAATTTGTTAAGACATAGAAATGATAATTTATGGAGAACATAAAATCTCAAAATAAATCATCCATTTATTACAAATAAACGATCAAGTCACTTTATGCCTCGTATGAGTGGGTTAACGGCCACCAGAGGGCTTGCTGACTTGCACCTCAATATCAGAACTTCCATCTTTGGCTGGTCAAGGAGAAAACAGTCAAATCCTTCAAACTGTTTGTCTGTCTCAGATTATTGTGGATTTCTTCAGCCAATAATGTATCAAAACACACAATCTCTTCGGTAAAGAACCTGTGCCACTCGACCACTGATGAGAGCAAGAACACAGACCAATGACTGACTAACTACAGCTAATGATGTAAACAATCAAAATTAGCATAATACCCAGTGCATAGCCTTTGTAATCTCATAAAAATCTGGCCATAATAGTTAACATTAATGCTTGTTAGGGGAGGTGTTGCTTGATGGCAGTATGAAACATAAGAAGGAAAATAAAAAATAAGATAAAACTCACGGTGACTTGTCCCAAATACCCAGCTGTTCCACTCTCCACCAGAGGAACCCCTGCGGCCAAGCACATTCGGTTTACATGGTTCCTCGCAGCTCTGTTATCCAGCGCATTCATCACCAGGGTGAACTTTTGATAAAATGGCACTCCATATTTTGACCTGAAATAAAATGTAATTACAGGTGTGTCCATATGCATTATTAAACCTAACCCCATCATAAATATACATATCTTACTCTGACTGGTTACTGACCATTTTGTTTTTCAAAATAAGGAAAATATGAGACATCAGTTGCTAATACAACTACCTAAACTGAGAGAGAGAGAGAGAGAGAGAGAGAGAGAGAGAGAGAGAGAGAGAGAGAGAGAGAGAGAGAGAGAGAGAGAGAGAGAGAGAGAGAGAGAGAGAGAGAGAGAGAGAGAGAGAGAGAGAGAGAGAGAGAGAGAGAGAGAGAGAGAGAGAGAGAGAGAGAGAGAGAGAGAGAGAGAGAGAGAGAGCGAGAGAGCGAGAGAGCGAGAGAGCGAGAGAGCGAGAGAGAGAGAGCGAGAGAGAGAGAGCGAGAGAGAGAGAGCGAGAGAGAGAGAGAGAGAGAGAGAGAGAGAGAGAGAGAGAGAGAGAGAGAGAGAGAGAGAGAGAGAGAGAGAGAGAGAGAGAGAGAGAGAGAGAGAGATTAATATATATACATATATAATATACAATATATATTAATATATATACATATATAATATATAATATATATATATATATATATATATATATATATATATATATATATATATATGTATATATATATATATATATCCAGGACTTCAATAAACCTCTTCTGTGTTTTTTTCCTAGACAACAAGTTCTACATCAGGTAATCATTTGAGGAGTGTTCAATTTCAACACTTACGTTGTAATAGAGTCATGGTATGCTTTAATATTAGCTTTAGGGTTGAAACGAAGTGCAGATTCTCTTGAAACCTCTGCTTTGCTACGGCCAACGTGTTGTTTTTGGAAAAGAAACTGGCGATTCAAGTTGCTCACATCAATGGTATCCAAATCAATCTGAAAGGAGGTAATGCATAATTTAAAATATGTAATGGGATTACTACTATATATGACACACACACACAAAAATAATCTAATGAACTTCAGCAGCTACCCAGTGCTTTAATAGAGTCAAATAAACATGTAAAATAATACCTATGACCTGCCTGAATACAAGTGGCTACCAAGCAGTGTTGCAGTACTCTTCCTACAATCAAATTGGGTATGCCTGACTTTCAATTGCAATGAACCTACTTCATGTATTCTTACACTTCACTTTTCATCACATGAATTCTTTCCAACAAGCTTGTAAGAGTCAGGACCTGAATAGCTTTTCTGAAAGCAGGAATAAAACTACATCTTCCTTGTCATATATTTGAGCGACTGAAAATCCTTTGCCCTCTAAATTTTCAGTAGAACTTGAAGAGATTGAATGCAATTACATACTATTCTCTTAATAAGCATTTAGAATTAAGATGTTTACTCTGCAGACTTGTGCATATCTCCTAACTGCGTAAATCATTACTGTAACATGTCAATTAACTTGTGTATTACTACAGACATGTGATGTGAAAGTGGTTATTTTGTACTCATCAATGGATGTTTTTCCATGTTTACCTGTCACATTCTTTTAAATGTAAAATTTTAAAATTTACACAATTATTTACAATAATGTTCAGTGGGAGCCTCACATTCCTTGCCAAACCTTAACAGTTTGTTGGGATTGCAATTTTTATTTCCTTACAAACAATATTTGAAACAAAAAATGCTGGATTCGGAAAATGTTATCCAAATGCAGTGTTTATAAAGCTCTATGGTTTGTGTTCAATACCCCAAGCCTGTTGAAGAGGGAAACCCAAAATACTGGACTGGGTTAATCTTTATGGTATGGATTCACTAATCTGGGGCAAATATAGATAATATTCCTATAGTGGACAAAAAGTTGCTGTTGCCAGTGCATGAAACCGAGATGGAAAAAAATGTTTGTCAGAAGGGTGTATTTGGAAGCCATGCCCCCCTCAACCCTCCCCACATGTAGTGCCTGAAAGGCACACCCAGTCATGGCAACTTAAATTATTGAAAAGAAATTTATGACAATTTTTAAAAAAACATCCAACATTCTCTCTTGCTGTGAATATATGGAGAATTCTTTGTTTTCCTGGGTGTGGGTTGGGGGCAGCAGCCTCCCATGGGGATGTTGCGGTGGATACAGCCAAGAGCATTAGACGGTGTGCGACTGATTCTGCGTATCTTTCTAATATTTTACACCACAATTTCCCTGGTACCTTTCGTGCCCTCCCCTGCTATCGGGGCCAAGACTTTTGATAAAAAGGGTGGGGTTTATAGGGCCTAGTTTCAATATGTTTGGAGAGTAGAGTGAGAGGCATCCACCTCTGCCAAAATCATTGTGATTGGTTATTTGAAAGCCTTGCGTAAAATTACCCAAATGAGGTAATTTTCCTAGAACTCGACCACATATTACCATCTATCACTAGCCAAGAACCTGTCAGCACTCCAGCAAAGGACAACAAACCCCTTTCTTGATATCTGGCAGACATCAGAAGGCCGCATCTGCCATCGAGCACAGGGCGCACTCGGCCTTCGTCGCCGCCTGACGGGGCCCGTGGAGGTAGGCCTACCTTGGTCAGGTGAGGTAATGA